GTGGTTCAGGTTTAGGATTTCTAGGGCTTAGGGCTTAGGGCTTAGGGCCTCGGGCTCAGGGCTTAGGCACAGGGCTCAGGGCTTAGGGCTTAACATACTACATGCGGGATACAAGGTACAATCGCATGTTATATAGCATCCTCTAGAGTACATGCTGTGAGGAATTCTATGGAAACTCTGTGGGTCATAGGCTTGTAAACCCTGAGCCCTAAGCCCTAAACCCTCAATAGGAGGTTGACCTTGTACATTTTTTTGGGTCCGTTTTTTTTTTTTTTTTTTTTTTTTTTTTTTTATAAGGGTGCCGCACTTGGAGGTTCCTGGTACGTACTTGCCAATTATAGCTGTACCTATAACTGTACTTAGAAACATATTAGGGCACTTCAGGGGCTTATAAGTGGGTTATAGTACAGTTATGATTGGTGAATAAGTACCATGAACCTCCAAGTAAACCCCAAACCCTAAACCCTAAATCCTAAACCCTAAACCCTAAACCCTAAAGCAATTGGGGACCCAAAGCATGGGGACCTAATTGAGGGGGGAACTTGCTGTGAGTACAGACCCCAAGCCCTAAAAAAAACTCAGACCGGGACCGTCGAAGCCCTAAACCCTAAACCCTAAACCCTAAACCCTAAACCCTAAACCCTAAACCCTAAACCCTAAACCCTAAACCCTAAACCCTAAACCCCTAAACCCCTAAACCCCTAAACCCCTAAACCCCTAAACCCCTAAACCCTAAACCCTAAACCCTAAACCCTAAACCCTAAACCCTAAACCTTAAACCCTAAACCCTAAACCCTAAACCCAGCAAGCTGCCATCCCCAGCCACTGGAGGCATTCTCGACACACTACGCGCGCAGGCCGCAGCCATGCACGTGGATTTAGGGCCTATTGGAGCCCCTAAACCCTAAACCCTAAACCCTAAACCCTAAACCCTAAACCGGGTTTAGGGTTTATAGGGTTTATAGGGTTTATAGGGTTTATAGGGTTTTATAGGGTTTTATAGGGTTTCTAGGGTTTATAGGGTGTTTATAGGGTTTATAGGGTTTATAGGGTTTACAGGGTTTACAGGGTTCAAAGGGTTTATAGGGTTTATGGGGTGTATAGGGTTTATAGGGTCTTATAGGGTTTCTGGGATTTATAGGGTTTATAGGGTGTTTATAGGGTTCATCATCGGGCTCACGGGTTATAGGGTTTATAGGATTTATAGGGTTTATAGGGTTTATAGGGTTTATAGGGTTTATAGGGTTTCTAGGTGTAGGGTTTATGGGGTTTAGGTCTTAGGGTTTGGGGGTACAAAGTGGTGTTCTAAAGTATCCGTTTCTTAAACCCCGATCCCGCGAGAGACCCCCAAACATCCCCAACCTTAAACCCTAAACCCTAAACCCTAAACCCTAAACCCTAAACCCTAAACCTCTTAACCCCCTTGGCGGCAGGGCAAGACAGTAGGATGGTGCTCCGTAGATTTGGAGGCTGTAGGTTTAACGCTTCAGGCAACAGGTCTAGGGATCATACGGAGGAAGACCAGCTGAGCCCCCAACTTACAAAAACCTAAACCCTAAACCCTAAACCCTACCCCCTCAACCCTAAACCCTAAACCCAAGTCCCTGCCAGAAGCCACTGTTCAGCTTGTGGGGCCGTGGGTTCAGGGCGGAGCGGCAAGCAGAATTCTGTCCACCGTGCCCAGAGAATCTGACTGCATGTGTACGAACCCTAAACCCTAAACCCTAAAAACCTGGTCGGTCTTCTGTTTTCTTTCACCCTAGCTAAAGGGCTAGTTGTCTCAGCCGTGGATGCGCCTGGGATGTCCGCAAGGATAGCATGCATAAACCCTAAAAACCCTAAAAACCCCAAACCTTAAACCCTAAACCCTAAACCCTACGCTCTAAACCTTAAAGCCTAAACCCTAAACCTTAAACCGTCGCTCCCAGCACACCTTCAAAGGGCCCAGTGACGTGCGCACCTTGCTAGAGTGATACGCAAGGTTTGCATTTCTGGGGTTTAGGGTTTAGGGTTTAGGGTTGAGGGTTTAGGGTTTAGGTTGCCCCTGTTGGGCAAACAGGTTTTGGGCACCGAACCCTCCACCCAACGCTTCTGCTCCTATTTCTAGGGTTGCTTGTTGGCAACCCCAAAAATCAACTTTCCAGCGTCCCGGAAAATCTCGGTCCAGCAGTGCCTGTTTGTGGCGCCGGTGCCATCCCCCAACCTTCTGCCTGGAGCTTAAGACTCACTTGACAGGGCTTGGCAACCGACCGGGGGGGGTACCCCCGCAGAAGATCCATCAGAATGACCCTGAACCACTGAGCCTAGTGGTCGAGAAGAGTCGTGAAGTTGATGCGTCATGGTCGCAGCTTGGATTGCGGGACAGTTGCCGGACGATTACCTTGCCCACAACTCCTAAAACCCCCTAAAGCTCCCGAATACCTCCCTGAAACCCCGAAAACCCCGAACCCCCCCTCTAAAACCCTTCCCAAAACACCTAAAACTCCCCAAGACCCCCTCAAGCCCCAAGACCCGACACCCCAAAACCCCAACACTGAACCCTGAACCCTATACCCTAAACCCTAAACCCTAAACCCGAAACCCCCAACGCTCTGCAGCACCCCCCCCACCATCACCGCCGCAGGCTCCCACCGTGGAAGGCCAGGACTTCAGGATTCATAGGCATTGGGTTTTGGGGGTTTTAGGGCTTAGGGTTTTGGGGTTTGAGGTTTAGGGTTTGAGGGTTTTTGGGTTAGGGTTTTGGGGTTTGAGGTTTCGGGTTTGCAGTTTAGAGTTTGGGGTTGTTTAGGGTTTGGGGTTTAGGGTTTGGGGTTTTAGGGTGTAGGGTTCAGAGTTTTTTTAGGGCTTGGGGGTTTTAGGGTTTTAGGGTTTTGGGGTTTGAGGTTCGGGTTTGCGGCTTAGAGTTTAGGTTTGGGTTTTTTCAGGGTTTTGTAGGGTTTGGGGTTTTAGGGTGTAGGGTTCAGAATTTTAGGGTTTGGGGTTTTAGGGGTTTTTAGGGTTTGGGGTTTAGGGTTTGGGGTTTGAGGGTGTAGGGTTCAGAGTTTTCGGGTTTGGGGTCTTAGGGTTTTAGGGTTTTAGGGTTTAGGGTTTTAGGGTTTTAGGGCTTAAGGGCTTTAGGGCTGTAGGGCTTTAGCGCTTTAGGGCTTGAGGTTTTAGATGTTCACAGTCTTGGGCGATGGTTTTTGGGGCGAATGTCGTGGGTGGGTTGCCCCCTTAAACCCTAAACCCTGAACCCTAAACCCTAAACCCTGAACCCTAAACCCTAAACCCTAAAACCCTATCCCTAAACCCTAAACCCTAAACCCGAAACCCTAAACCGTGTGGCGGTGGGGGGGTGGGGGGGAGGTGGGGGGGGGGGGGGGGGGGTCCCAAACGCTCGTCTTTGAGGAACACGGATTGGGTGCAGGTCCCTCCCAGCTCCCCCGGATTTCATGTCTAAACCTCAATGGTTAGGGTTCAGGGTGTAGGGTTTAGGGTTTAGGGTTTAGGGTTTAGGGTTTAGGGTTTAGGGTTTAGGGTTTAGGGTTTAGGGTTTAGGGTGACCATAAGCCTGAAAACCTCCAAGTTGGTCAAGCTTAAAGACCCAGCCGCATGGCACCAAAGTTTCCCTAAACCATATACCTTCAACTACCCTCAACTACCCTAAACTACCCTAAACCCTAAACCTAAGCGCTTTCCCTAAACCCTAAACCCTAAACCTTCAACTACCCTCAACTACCCTCAACTACCCTCAACTACCCTCAACTACCCTCAACTACCCTCAACTACCCTAAACCCTAAACCTTCAACTACCCTAAACTACCCTCATCTACCCTAAACTACTCTAAACTACCCTAAACCGCCTAAACCGCCTAAACCCTAAACCCTAAACCCCAAACCCCAAACCCTAAACCCTAAACCCTACACCCTAAACCCTAAACCCTAAACACCTTCAGCTTGGGGCGTGCTAGGCCCAGACAAGTTCACGGGCTGCGCTTCCCTCCGCTTCTTCGTGGACATCACGAAGTCCATCAGGCTTAGTTTTTTTGTTTTTTTATTTTTTATTTTTTTATGGGGTTTCTTGGGGTGTTTTATTTGGGATTTTGTAGGGTTGTATAGGGCTTCTTAGGGTTTTAACAGATGTAGAGGGGGCCGGGTGTTTTATGGGGCTTCTTGGGGTTCAGGGAGTTTTTAGATGTTCAAGGCTTTTTTTGGGTTGGTTTAGGGATTGTAAGGCGAGTCGGGTTTCTAGGGTTTTTGGGTTTATAGGGGCCTTAGGCCTTCTATAGGTAGTAGGACTAGGGTTTATAGGATTTACAGCATTTATAGGGTTTATGGCGTGTATGGGTTTACACGGCGTAGAGGGATTTTAGGGTATACGGGGTTAGAGGGTTGGTCTACAAGGGTTTACAGGGTTCATAGAGCCCCTAAACCCTAAACCCTAAACCCTAAACCCTAAACCGGCTTATGAGGCTTGTAGGGTTTGTAGGTGGTCGGTCTAGGGTTTCGCCGCAGTGAAAGTGTCTAACCAGTACTGCTGTTCCTTGAAGGATTTGGTCCCGGATGGGTTTAGGGTCAGGGTTCAGGGTTTAGGGTTTAGGGTTTAGGGTTTAGGGTTTAGGGTTTAGGGTTTAGGGTTTAGGGTTTAGGGTGCAGCTGAGGATCTCCTGATTTTGGCAAGTCCCAGCGAGTCCTCCACAGCCAAAAAGGTGGCCGGTCCTTTGGATGTCCCCTGGCATGTCCCACAGGTGGAGGGGCGGCCATGGTATCCATGGCGGTGGTCGGAGGTAGCTGGTAGCTCCATCTACTCTGACCTTGGCGGGTGGCTTGAAGTAAGCCAGTGGGAACAATTGGGCACACATGACTAAGGGGATAAAATAGTACACATATCAACCAGGAGCATGCAGAAACCTCCAGATGTCTTCGAAACTGCTGTTGCAAACCAGGTGTAGCAGCTAGCGCTGCTCAAGGCTGCTGTCACTGCCATGGCCAGCTAAGCCCAGAGCAACCATGATTCACCCATGCCAGTTCACCACCCAACACATGGCTATTTTTGGCTTAGCAGTAGTTTTTGCTCCAGGTCCCTGCTTGAGCGAATCATGCCAGAACCCATGCCGGTTGGGATCAGCAATCAGGAATCCGAAGATGTCAACAGTATCAAGGTGAAGCGCGTGGCCGAGTATTTGCCCGAGAAACGTGTCGAGAAGACCATGAATCCAAAGGCCAGGGACAGTCCTTTGTGGTTGCTTTACAGCGTCCTCACGGGCGGATATTTGGGATTGTCCGACAAGCTCATCACCACAGACAGGAAAGTCACGAGCGGAGCTAAGGAAAACATCATCAATGAATGCACCAACATGGGCTTGATCAGTGCTTTGCTGCTCACCATAGTAGTGCCCATCTGCTACGATTCTGTGACGGATTGGCTGGAAGAAGACTATGCTGGGAGTGGCTTTCTCTTTGTGGATGGCTATATCGGTTCGCTCCTCACTGAGACTCAAGTCCAAAATGGCTTGGCATTCCTGAATGACTTTGCTTTGATCTTCTATGTCATGGGCATGCTCGGATTTCTGTATGCCACTGGCACAACAGTGGTGCAGCTGCTGTGTGTGGGAGAACCTTGGGGACGAAATGAGCCCTAAAATTGGGGGTCATATACCCTGACTACTATAATTCCTATTAAGGTATATGAACCCTAAACCCTTTTAGGGCTCATCTCGTCCCCAAGGAAGTGGGCACTGATAGCGGCTGCGAAGACTGGATGCGCCGAGTGGGCAAAGCCACCCGTGCTCCGTACATTTTGTTTGTGGTCGGTTCCTTGGGGACGAAATGAGCCCTAAAAGGGTTTAGGGTTCATATACCTTACTAGGAGTTATAGTAGCATAGGGTATATGGCCCCATTTTTAGGGTTCATTTCGTCCCCCAGGTTGCATCTTCACAGTCTTTCCTGGGGTCGTTCGTTTCGCGGTGGGTTGCAAGACCCTTGCAGGCCGCGTGGCTGCCAGGGCTTTGATTTTTGATGTTTTTTTCTCTAATTTTATGGATCAGATGGGTTGACTAAAAACACTCAAATATCAAGAGAATACTAAAAATAAAGCTTTGGGACGAGATCACCTGGATCCACCAAGCAGGCCTTATCTTTCTCCTCTTGGTGGTCGTGGGCATGAACTTCTCTGGCGTCGCCATCAACTACGTCTACGTGGCAGGCTGCACCCGAGTGCACAACCAAATCAACGAGTTTGGAGACTTGAGCTTGTCCAACACGGAGGCACAGCAAGACGTGGAGGCCTGGTTCGAGAAAAACCAGCATGGCGCTCACGTGCAAGACTGCTTGCTCGACTTGTGTGGCATTGTCGAAGACAAGAAGGCCAATAGCGAGTTGATCATCCCACTGGACACCGTCTCAAAGCGGCGCGTTGCTTTGCACTACCACAAACTCTGCTCCGAGAGTCTTGGCATTACCTTGCCAGCAGAGGAGCTCTACAAACTCAGCTGTCAGCTGCCCGAGTAGTGGATTCCAAAGAGTGGTGTGAGTGGCAGCAAACATCGGCGCTACGCTCAGGGGGCATCATGGGGCTGCAGAATGCACCCCCGAAGAGTTTAGGGTTTAGGGTTTAGGGTTGAGGGTTGAGGGTGCAGAGAGTATCGTCCGATGTGAGCCTTGCAGACCTTCTCAGTTGCGTGCTCCTTTGCCAGTCTCCTCAGGAGAATGTGGCTCCCTGCTGCTGCTAACTTTTCAGCGGTTTTTTTGTTCTCTCCTAGCCTTAGGCTACAAGTCACTTGGGAAGGTCCGCGGCTTGAAAACAGAATCCCTTTTCGAGAATCTACCGCAGTGCGGGGGCCTTTCAAAGACAGACAGTCCGCAGTCCAGTACAAGCAACTTTCATTGGCAAAGTAGAAACTGACCAGTAACCATACCATTCATTGATCATCATCACAATCTTGCAATCATGATCATTATTATCAGGGCATAGAGAGGGGATAGCTGGGTTCTATTGAACCCCCTGCGCCCAGAGAAATGGCTTACATAGATGCTAAAACGAGCCAGGGTCCCTAAACCCCGAAACCCCGAAAATCTAAACCCTAAACCCTAAACCCTAAACCCTAAACCCTAAACCCTAAACCCTAAACCCTAAACCCTAAACCCTAAACCCTAAACCCTAAACCCTAAACCCTGTGACGACAGGTTGTTCATGCTCCGGGAGATCCAACTCTGCTTTCGGGAGCTTCCAGCAGGTCGGGCTCGGAGTTTGGTTAAACCCCGGCCTTTATAGCCTAAACCCTTCAATATCATAGGTTCCCCTACTACTCCCCTCTATACTAAGGCTATTTAGGGATAATTAAGGCTATTTAAGTCCATGATAGCCCCTAAACCTGAGGGTTCTAGGATTGAAGCTCTTGTTTTTTGCTTGGGGTTTTATAATTCAGGGTTTAGGGCTCACAGTTTTTTTTTATCTAGGGTGCCCGAGATTGTGGTTTGAGGCATTCTACGTACCAGGGACTGGCTTGAGCTACACACCCTAAACCACCCTCAAGAAAACCTTCAAACCCCGCTAATATGGCATTGAGGGTTTAAGGATTGTATTAGCACGTGCCTTGAGGCTAAAGGTAAGAGAAGCCGATTGGGGTTTCCCCGTGCTTTAGGCTGGAGAATTGGGGTCTCCGAATACAAGGGGTACGCTGTTTTAGGGTCTTCTTTGGGGGGTGTAGTTGCCAAATACCCAAACCCCCAATCCCCAAACCCTAAACCCTAAACCCTAAACCCTAATGGGGCGGCCCCATGGGCTCAATAGGGCCAGTGCCACCAATGAACCCCATGTGAAGAAGGGTTTATGTTACGGTTTTTGGTGAGTGTATATAAGGTTCCTTTTTAATGTTGGGTGTCAGTTTGGGGGGGGGGGTACAAGAAATATAAAGCCTACTTCATGTGAAAATTCTTGGCTGGGAAGAAGACGGCCAAGCTTAAAGTGGCGTGCGGCTGCCAGAAACGGACCACAGGAGCTCCAGCTGAAAGTCATTTCTCCTCATTTCTCTTGGCCCCCCCCCCCCCCCTCCTTGGTCATCTACCCGGCATTGCTTCTGAGCAGGGCACCTAGACCTTAAACCCTAAACCCTAAACCCTGTAGACCCCAACAAGCCTTGACTGGTGGAAATCGTGCCGGTGGAGACGTTCCCGGCGATTGTCGGCAGAGTGAGCAACTTCCTCACATGACATGGGTGTTTTCCCAAACAGGGGACTTGTCTCCATACCTAAACCCGAAACCCCAAACCCCAAAGTAGCACGAATCCCTATTCTAGGAGCCCCCCAAACAACACGCCCTAAACCCTAAACCCTAAACCCTAAACCCTAAACCCTAAACCCTAAACCCTAAACCCTAAACCCTAAACCCTAAACCCCCAAAACCAAAATGGCTTTGGGGCTTTCAGAAAATCGGGCTAAGGGCTGCTTTTAGGGGCGTTGGAGCGATTACTGAGTACAGCTAAACCCCAAAACGCTATTGAAGAGAACGTGGCCCCCGTGTCGATTCTGTCGATGCAAAACCCCCGCAAACCGCATTCGCGTCTTTCAGGGTTTGGGTTAAGTTTAGGGTTTAGGGTTGACTAATTTCAAGTGGTCGCAAAGGAGCTCCCGTGCGCGACTGCCTTCATTGGGGACCACACAAATGCCCTGCATCCTGCCGCTTTTTGCGCGGAGCCCGGGGATCCTCTGTAATCCGGCGACAAAACCGGAGCCACGGATTACCAGAGCGCCGAGGGGACAGAGGCACGTTTCAGAACTGTGACTTGGGCAGGATGAAGGAGCGCCGAGAGTTTTTGCGGCCCGGCTTCTTTGCATCACCTTGCGGACGAGCAGAACAGGTCAGCCCAGAGGGGAGAGATCACAAGGAATGCCTTGGAGTTCCTCCACGAGAGGGGCGCTGTCCTTCAGGGACTCCCGGTACCTCAGTCTCTCGATCTCCTCGATTTGGAATTCCTGCTAGGGTTTAGGGTTTAGGGTTTAAGGTTCAGGGTTTAGACCCTGAAGGCCATAAGTCTTATAGACTGTGTATGGCTTATGGTGTTTATGTGGAAATAGGGATACCCCCTTTTATACCCCAAAAGGAATAGAATCCTCTTAAAGGGACCCCCAAAAAGGTCCCCTATCTTTGGAAACCCCCCCATATTTTCGTTGAACCCTAAACCCTAAACCCTAAAACCCTAAAACCCTAAAACCCTAAAACCCTAAACCCTAAACCCTAAGTAGGTTTATGGTGTTTACATGGGGAGGCCCTCTGAACTCGAGCCGCAAACTTCCCTGTGAGGCGACTTGGAGGTGTGCGACGCGCTCTCGCTGCAGATGCCGCGGCCTCATTGGGTCGCAGGGTTGTGGGTTTCGGTTTTAGGGTTTAGCGTTTCAGGGTTCAAGGGTTCAAGGGTTTAAGGGTTTAAGGGTTTAAGGGTTTAAGGGTTTGAGGGTTTGAGGGTTTGAGGGTTTAAGGGCTTAGGGATTAAGGGTATAGGGCTTAGATTCGATTTCCAACAATGTGTTCCGAAAACGGTACCTATATGTCTTATTTAACCGGAAAACATAACTCATTGAGAGGGGCCCCTTCGACGCCCAAAGCAGCCAGAACCCCCGCGGCCCTCCTTTCATATGAGTGCTTCTCTAGTCTAAGTTATGGTTCCTAGGGGCCTTATGGGTATGATATGCACATTGCACATATATATATGTATATATAAATATAAATATAAATATAAATATAAATATACATATAAATATAAATATAATATAATAGAATATCACAATATATCCATATATCCATATGTACGTCTCTTTCGAGAATTCTCCCATACGAACGCAGGGCTACACCCCTTCCCCTCACACCCAAACAAAGTGTCCTCAACTCTCCGCCAAGGGACTCCGATTCCTCAGCCCTAAGCCCTTTGCCCCTTGGACCTTCAAACGAAGTAGCGCAACAGAACCCTACGTGGCTCAAGCGGCTCGACCTTCCACCCTCAGAGCTTAGGGTTTAGGGTTTAGGGCTTAGGGTTTAGGGTTTAGGGCGGCCCCTTCGGAGGCGCCCCTAGAACATGGCCAAGGTTTATGGACCTCCGGGGTCTGAATTTGAGGGCCCAAGAGGCTCAGGGTACAGAAGAATTTGGGGTTAGGGTTTGGGGTTTAGGGTAGAAAAATCTGCAAATTCCATCCATAACCCGTAAGCCCGAAGCCCTGAAAGCCCAAACCCGGAGCTCTAACCCCTAAAGCCCTGAGCCCTGAAACCCTAAGCCATAAGACCTGGATACGCCCAAAAAATCCCCATGAGCCTTACTTGGAAGATCGTTGTACCAAAAGTAGGGATAGGCGTACCATAATTGCGGGTATAAGTAATTATAACTATAGCTACCTTACTTCTAACCCCACCTACTTAGTCCCCTGAACCCTAAGCCCCAAACCCTAAACCCCAACCCCTAAACCCTAAACCCCAAACCCTAAACCCTAAACCCTAACCTCCAAACCCTAAACCCTAAACCCTAAACCCGATCCTTCAAGTACCCCATCCTGGCCCTTGCGGCACACGAAAGGTGGTTGCCATTCCTCCGAGAGTTCGAGGACCCAGATTGAGGGGATCCCAAGTTTGTTAGGGTTTAGGGTTTAGGGTTTAGGGTTTAGGGTTTAGGGTTTAGGGTTTAGGGTTTAGGGTTTAGGGTTTAGGGTCTAGGGTTTAGGGTTTAGGGTTTAGGGTTTAGGGTTTAGGGTTTAGGGTTTAGGGTTTAGGGTTTAGGGTTTAGGGCGACATATAGAGACTTCGCATCCGCGGACGACTCAGAGACTTAAAGTTGAGCCCTAAACCCTGTAAACCCTAAACCCCTAAGCTCCTTAAACAAAAAAACATAGAGTTCTTGAGGGCGGGGGGTTTGGGGTTTAGGGTTTAGGGTTTAGGGATCAAGGGGGGTGTGTAACCTAAGGTTCCCCAATACTCCCCACTACTCCTTAAGGCTCCCGAAGCTTCCCTACGGTTCTCAGGAGTTCTTGAGGGCGGGGGGTTGGGGGTTTAGGGTTTAGGGTTTAGGGTTTAGGGATCAAGGGGGGTGTGTAACCCAACTCCCTAACGCTCCCTAAGCTTCCCTAAGGTTCTCTAGGTACCTACCCCCCATGAACCCAAACCCTAGACCCTAGACCCTAAACCCTAAACCCTAAACCCCTCACCTTTAAGAAGCCCCAAACCTTACAATGTTCCCCGAAGGGCCTAGGCCCGAAACCCTGACACGCGTCGACGGGGTCGGAGTAGACACCTGCGTCAGCTACTCCATCGGGTTAAGGGTTTAGCGTGTACCCTGAGCCCTAATCCCTACACCCTAAACCCTAAACCCTAATCCCTACACCCTAAACCCTAAACCCTAATCCCTAAACCCTAAACCCTGAAGCTTCGGCAAGAGCCTGGGAAGGTGCTACTTTTCCACTCCGGGCCTGGCATGTCGACTTCAGCGTTCAGGTTTGGAGTTTTGGGTTTAGGGTTTAGGTTTTGGGGCTAAGGGTTTAGGGTTTAGGGTTTCGGGTTTAGGGTTTAGGGTTTAGGGTTGAGGGTTTAGGGTTTAGGGTTTAGAGAAGGGTTTCGGGCAACATCCTGTCATTGTTGGCCTCCCAGGCCTCTAAATCCAAAATCTAAAGTTTCAAATTCTGAGCCCTAAACCCTAAATCAAAGCCCTGCACCTAAACTTAATTCAAGTTTTAGGGTTTAGTTTTTAGAACTTGGGGTTTACTGGGTAGGCCCTGTTTAGGGTTTAGGGTGTAGGGTGTAGGGTTTGTGGTTTAGGGTGATTGCACATGTTCTCTTTTTGGGTTTAAGATGATCGGATTTAGGAAAACGTGTCGGAGGGTTGTAAGGGCCATCCTCGTTTAGGGCCCTAAACCCTAAACCCTAACCCCTAACCCCTTAACACCAAACCCTACACCCTACACCCTACACCCTAAACCCTAAACCCTAAACCCTAAACCCTAAACCCTAAACCCTAAACCCTAAACCCTAAACCCTAAACCCTAAACCCTAAACCCTAAACCCTAAACCCTAAACCCTAAACCAAGCACGTAATTCTAAACCTCGAGCCCTGAAGGCTTATCGCTTCCCCCAGGTCCTACCGGATCGTCGGGTATCGGGACATCCCTCCGCAGAAGAAGCTGCCGCTCCCTCAATGAGAGCCCCAAGCGGTTTGGGGTTTAGGGTTTAGGGTTTAGGGTTTAGGGTTTAGGGTTTAGGGTTTAGGGTTTAGGCCCCTTCTGGAGCCGCACAAAGATACTTTGGGGTTTCGGCCCCTTGCAAACCCCTCTGAGAGCCTAAAAAACGCGGTTCTTAGAGACTCCACGGAGTAAGCCCTAAACCCTAAACCCCAAACCCTAAACCCTGAACCCTGAACCCTAAACCCAAACCCACATTCACCTGGACCTGGACTCCCTCAGCCCCGGGAATCAGGTGCTTCGTGTGTCATAGAGGATGCTGGGGTTAGGGTTTAGGGTTTAGGGTTTCGGGTTTCGGGTTTCGGGTTTAGTTGGGGGATTCAGACGGCCTGTCAAGTCTGGGCCTACGAGCCCCAACTTCGTGCTGCTAGTTAGGACGATGAGTTCAAGAGCCTTCGGCCGTTCTAGAGCACACTTCATGGGTTCCCCTACTACGGTTTAGGCTTTAGGCTTTAGGCTTTAGGCTTTAGGGTTTAGGGTTTAGGATTTAGGGTTTAGGGTCTACTACCCCCCTCTATACTACCCTTTCCCGAGGTTCCCCCCATCTAACCCTAAACCCTAAACCGCTCCTTAAGCACTTCCGAGCAGTCCTCTACGCTGGTGTCGAGCTCAGGGCTTAGGGTTGAGGGAGAGAGAACTGGTAGGAAGACGATGTCGATGACCCAACCCGTCATGCGCACGAAACACGCTTCAACGTGAAGTCTTCGCCCTAGAGGCCCTAAACCCTTAGAATCCCTTAAGCCCCAAGCCCCTAAACCCTTAAAATCCCTAAACCCGTGAAACAAATGGGGTGAAGGGTGTTGCAAGGTATGTATGGCTTCGAACATCATGCCGTGCTTGGGTTTGAATTCAGCATCAGCTGACCCAGTTGTGCTCAAAACCCTAAACCCTCAGCTTTGCGGGGCGTGAGAGGGGGCCGATGGCATTTGGACACATACCACCCATGATTTTAGGCCTAAGAAGCTGTAGGCTTCCAAATGTATTGGGTTTAAGGTGATGGGGTTCGGCAAACCTACGGCCAAATCGCAGCCAAGTCCCAAAAATTACTGCAGATCGGAAGTAGGGTTTAGGGTTCAGGGCTTAAGTAGGTGCCTTACTATAGGAGCAGAATCAAACAAGCAGTAGCAGTTGCATCAGAGCGGCATTGGTCGAATTTCCACTCCGACCCAGAGAGAACCCAATCTCCTTCATTGGAGAATACGGCTTAAAGTAGAAGGGACTTCATACCATGATCTAAGGCATATTCCTTAATTCAGGGGTATCGGGCTCTCTGGGTGTGGCCTCGCCCCGATGGAGCTGGCGAATCTGTACACAGCGTTGGGCGTCTCAGTCTCCGCAGAGGAAGCTGACATCCGTTCTGCCTATCGCCGGAGGGCGCTGGCAACGCATCCAGACACGAGGATGCCCACTAGTACCCTTATTCCCTTGTTTGAGGGGGTTTAGGTTCCCTAATATAAGCCCCGTTTAGGCAAATTTAGGCTTTTTACTCCCTGGTCATTGGGGAGCCTAGGACAAAGGAGGCAGCGCAGAAGCTTTCAGGCTAGTTGTCAAGGCCTTCGAGACCCTGGCGGACCCCCGGCGGAGGGCGGCCCATGATCGCGAGCTCGAGCGCGCAAACTCGGCGCCGGAGACTGGGCCCCGGAGTAGGCCCTTCTTTCCTTTTTTTGAGGGTTGGGGCTACCTTATTTTTACTTGTATCCCCCTTAAATAACCAAGAAGGGCACCCTATTTATTCCTAGGTTGCTCCAGTGTCTATAGGAGAGCAAGACGGAGGCGCCCGAGAGAGCGCCCCAGCCCAAGAAGAGATGTCGTCAACTTTGTCATAGTTGGGTAACATTTTTCATGTCTGGGGGTACCTAAGCCCAATAAGGAATAGACATTTGCGTGTTAATTACTATCCCAACCACGAACCAGGTCAACAGGGGCCAAGGGAGACAAAATCCGGGGAGGCCAAGCCCAAGCGTAGATGCGAGGCTCCGTCTGGCGACCAGAGCGCTGCTTCACCGCGGCCCGAGGAGATCCCCAAACTGGCAAAGGAGCTCTTGAGCCTTTCTCTGACATTCATGCGCTCCCGCTTGAAGAAGTTGGGGCTGGAAGTGCTTCGTGAACTGTTGACGTTTCTTGAGACATCCGGTCTCCGAGCTACATCGGAGTTCGGTGAGGACGAGAGGGAGAACTACTCATCAGCTTCCGAGGACGACCCGGAAGATGTCCTCCCCCTTTGTGACGATGAGTGCCCGGATCTTCTTTGTGAAGATGACCTTGAGAGCGAAACTAAGCTTCACCCCGACTGCAGGGCTGCTGGCCGAAGTGGTGTCAGGGGTGTAACTTTACATCGCGCTACTGGGAGCTATCGAGCAAGCGTGGGATTCAAGGGCATTTCTGTACAATCGCAGTACTGCAGAAATTTGGACACGATTATTGACTTTCACATGAGTCTGGTAGAGATGCGTCATCACTTTTTCAAGGAGTGTGAGGCTGGCAAACCCTTCGACCAAGCACTAGACCTTGCAACTAAGCAGCTGCATCGGGAAAGGGAAGGAGCCAATGCACCAAAGATGAGGCTCTCGTTCCTGTGCGCACGTGTGACAGGCGGTAGAACAATACGTCTGGATGAGATGAAGTTGGTGTGGCAAGCTTACCAAGAGGCTCTTGCTATGGCACGTGAAGAGAAGCTGCTTCGCCTTCACCAGCGCGCGCAAGAAAGGGCAGCAAGGAAGCAGGAAATGGAGCAGGAACGAAGAGAGTCAAAGCACACAGCCAAAGTGCAGGCCCTGCATGTGGCTCTGCAAACTGAGCTTGAGATGCGCGCAAAGCGCCTTCTCGAGAAGCAGACGCAGCAAGCGTTTGGTGTGAAGACACTGCCCCAGGGCATAGTCCTCGCCAGCTTGCCGGGGGTCCCACGGCTCAACGCGTGCGCGTGCCTTCGCCATATTTAGTAAACTGCAACACAGAGTTCTATGTTGGCTCAGCTGCCCCCCCCCCCCGTGGTTACCTAGACTCAATCTGACGCAGCATCCAAGGAGTGCACAGCTTCAGCTAAAGGATGGCTCTCTTTGTCAGGGCCCTCTCCGTGCGAGCCTGGTCCTGGCGAAGCGCGACCTCCAAGAACTTTCGGCCATCCGAGCCTTGGGGACGAAATGAGCCCTAAAAGGGTTTAGGGTTCATATACCTTATTAGGAGTTATAGTAGCATAGGGTATATGGCCCCATTTTTAGGGTTCATTTCGTCCCCAAGGAGAAGCAAAGGGCGACGATGCGGCACAGGAGGAAGCCTCTCGGAGAGATGCGGACGTCATGACTTCTTTCTTCATGACTGGCCGGCTGCCTTGACAGAAACACAGTTGTGCATGTGCCGGGGCCTGCTCTCGTCTTCCTGAGCCCTGAGCCCTAAACCCCAAACCCGAAACCTAAACCCTAAACCGAGACCTCCTGAGGTCAGTCTGAAAAATTGTGGGAAGAAGCACAGCGAACACGTACCTTCTCGTGTGTCAAATAGGCCCTGCTTGGCGGTTCATGGTACTTCTTAACCCATTATAACTTTACTTATGACCCGCTCATAAGCCCCTTGAAGTGCCCCAATATGGTTATAAGTACAGTCATAAGTGCAGTTATAGTTGGTTAATAAGTACCATGAACCTCTAAGTAGTTCCTTATCGGTAGACTCAAACCTCGAATGTCACCCTCAAGAGACAGAGAGAGAGAGAGAGAGATTGAAGCATCTATATATTTGTTCGTCAGTGCAGGGGGTTTTGCAGGCCTTCATGTAAGTGATCTTGTGACCATAAGTTTGAGTACTACATGCATGTTGCTACATGGATCGAGAACGCCACGCGTACGATAAGCATCGCAAAGGCTGAGGGCTCAGGATTTCGGGTTTCCTCCTTGCCGGGGCTTGCGTTCCCTTATGAACCCCTTGTATTCAGAAGGGTTTCGGGTTTGATTTCAGTGTCCTAGTTTTCTCTGGGAGAAAGTAGCATGCCCATCACAGGGGCCGAGTCGGTTTCAGTTGCTTTGGTGCTTAGGGTTTAGGGTTTGGGGTTTAGGGTTTCTACAGCAATTCGTTCGGGGGAGCATGCTGGTGGTTTGGCTCGGTAGCTACAGGTGCCCAGGCCCGGAAAGCACTGAAGCGTGGTGATGTTCCCCCTTGTACTACTAGTCCTTAATAGGGATTATCCCCCTATTATATCCCCTAAAAACAAAGAAGCGGGTTTTATGGTACACCCCCCCCAACCTTAACCTCTAAACCCTACACCCTACACCCTACACCCTAGACCCTAGACCCTAGACCCTAGACCCTAGACCCTAGACCCTAAACCCTAAACCCTAAACCTATGAGAATGCCTATTAAGGACTGTTAGTACAAGGGGACATCCAATTGAAGCCTGAGCACCCTACACATTCCGTGCTTGGCCCTGGGGGGTGCCTAAGCCCTGAAGAGTAAACCCTAAACCTTGGGATGTTCCCTTAGGGTTTAGGGTTTAGGGTTTAGGGTTTAGGGTCTAGGGTTTAGGGTTTAGGGCTTAGGGTTTCGGGTTTAGGGTTTAGGGTTTAGGGTTTAGGGTTTAGGGGTACTAGCCGTCATGAAAAGGGATTAGAATAGGAGGTACTATAGTCCCGATTCAGGACTGTTAGTATGAGGGGGAACATCCCTACCAAAACCCTACCAGGCTGTCGGTCATGCTCCCTAAGCGGCGGGGGGGGGGGGGGGGGGGGTGAGGTTATAGCCTGCTAAGGGTAAGCCTTTTCTTAAACCCCGGCCCCCCACCCACCCCAAGAAAAATAAATAAATATTACGCCGGCGAAGACCCCAGAAAGCTGGGGAGGCTCTCTGAGAATAAATAGAAATTTTCTTTCTTTCTTGTGGCACTCCGCTTCACATGTTTTGGTGTTGCCGAATCAGAAGGCTCGTACAAGTGAATGAGACATGTTTGGCCAACGATTAAAATTAACAGGTGTCCTCGACCTGACGAAGGCGTGCTGGACTGACCTGACGGTGCCTCCTGCAATTTTCTTTTTCTCAGTGTAAAACCCCTTGAACCCCGACCTCCGGAACACAGGACCGTCCGCAAAGGCGAAGCTTCAGGAAATTTCTCTTTTTCTCTTTTCTCACTCACGCTGCTAGGGTTTTGCGCTTGGAGGTCCCCGTGGCTCGCATTGCAACCACTTGTCACTGCAATTCTCCACCTTGCGGTTATCTCTCCCACAAAAACAGATGGATGGCCCTCGTACTCCCCCTTTAAAGCTTGTCCTCTGCGAATTGGAGCAACGGACGGTTCCTTAGCACGCGTTTGGCGGCGCTCGGTTTTGTTATCCTGCAATATATGTCTCCTTTTCAGCCTTGCGGCTGTCTATTTTGTCTCTCAGCCAATCCTTCTCTTCTGTCCTACCCCTGTTCCTCGAGACTTGAGCTTCTCTGCTTGCTCCCGTCATGCTTTTGTTTCAGGCCCCCTCCCCGGGGTTGGTCGGGACCGGAGGTCGTTTTGCTGCGGCCTTTGGGGTTTCCCCAGGAAGAGTGGCCTCCTGAACTTGAACGTCTGCGGCCTGAGACTCTTCCTCACTCCCCTCTGTGTACACCGAGTGCTCCCCTCCTGCTCCACTGTGCCTGCTTTCTCCTCACGCTCACTTCAGCCTCTTCTTCTTCTTTTCGGCGTTGCCTTTGCACAAACCTCGGAGATTGATGATGCTTTTTCCAGATTACTTGCCCGTCCTCTTCACAGACGGGCCTATCAGATTCCCAATCGATCTGAGATCCCTGCAAAGCCACAATTGGCAGGCCTCAGTCCTATGCGCCACTTCTGACACAAGGGCGGTGCACTCATGAAGACCAGAAAGCTGGTCCTGTAAGCCCAACCCGAGCGGGGCAATTCCTAAACCGCGAGAACATACGCAGTCATGAATCAGCAAACGCCGAATCCACGTGCGGCCATTCTTGCGCCCTACAAGCACACATCTGCTACCCTGCATGTTCAGGATATACTAGCTCAGCCAGGTTCTCAGCTTGCCACCACGCCACACCCCCACCCCCACCACGCCCCCACCACGCCCCCACCACCACACCACCCACACCACCCCCACCACCACGCCCCCACCACCACCACACCCACCACCACGCCCCCCACCACCACCACACCGCCACCACCACCACACCGCCACCACCACACCCCCCCACCACCACTACACCCCCCCACCAGCCCCACCACCACACCCAGCCCCACCACCACACCCAGCCCCACCACCACACCCCCGTGTAACGACCTACAAGTTAACTTTACTTAATTTCCAGTACATGGCTTATAACTTATAAGTCACGATAAAGCACGGTCCACCTCAGGACATGCCTGCATGCCTGCATGCCCCTGCGCCCCCTCCATCAGCCGCAGACGCCGCGCTCCCTATTGCCCCACCTACATGCCACCTGCACCCCCGCCTGCACCCGGCCGGTGGAGGCGGCGCGGCATGCAGGCATCGCGGGCGCGGCGGCGTGCAGGCGTGCGGCGTGCAGGCATGTAAGCATGCAGGGGGCAAGTGGCATGCAGGAGGGCGGACGCCGCACTGCCTACTGCCCCACATACAAGCCACGTGCCTACATGCCTGCACCCGTGCCTGCATGCCGCTGCGCCCTCTCCACCGGCCGCGGACGCCGCACTCCCTACTGCCCCACCTACATGCCACCAGCACCAGCATCCCCTCCTGCATGCCTGCATGCCTGCATGCCTGCATCCCTGCATGCCTGCATGCCGCTGCACCGCCTCACCTGCATGACTGCATGACTGCATGCCGCCGCGCCCGCTGCGCCGGTGCGGACGCGAAAGGTCCTATTTAGCTAGAACCCCTAATAGCTAAAGCTATCTGGGGAATAAGTATAAATAAATATAAATAAATAAATAAATAAATATATATATATATATATATAAGCAAAGACGGTTACACCCTGTGCCCTACCCAAGCTCTTAAACCCTAATCCTTAAACCCTAAGCCCTCAGGTGGTCCATCTATCATTGCACGCTGGTGGCGAAGAATGTGTTGAGGCCAAAGCTCATGGACTTCGCTTAGGGTTTAGGGTTTAGGGTTTAGGGTTTAGGGTTTAGAGTTTAGGGTTTAGGGTTCAGGGTTCAGGGTTCAGGGTTTAGGGTTTAGGGTTTAGGGTTTAGGGTTTAGGGTTTAGGGCTTTGGGTTTAGGGTTTAGGGCTTAGGGTTTAGGGTTCAGCGTGTCGGGTCATTCCCCAAATCTCTGCTGTTCTTGAACGTATGTTGCACTACGTAGAAACCCTAAACCCCAAACCCTAAACCCTAAACCCTAAACCCTACCCCTAAACCCTAAACCCTAAACCCTAAGCCTTTTGGGCGGGGCACCTACCGGAGAAGCCTTTGGGCATCTGCCAAGACATCTCTGGGGCTCAGGGTAAGCAAGTCAGGGCACGCCTTCATAAACCCCTATGTTGCTAAGCCCTAGCCCTAAACCCTAAACCCTGAACCCTAAACCCTAAACCCTTAACCCTTAACCCTAAAGCCTACACCCTAAACCCTAAACCCTAAACCCCAAACCCTAAACCCTAGTTAGCGTGCTGAGTAGCCTGGAACCTGCTGGAACGTGTGAAGGCTCTCATCTGCTTGTCGGGTCTTAGTCTCGGGGCTGGAGGAATACCCCCCAACTCTTGAGACCTAAACCCTAAGCCCTAAACCCTAGACCCTAAACCCTAAACCCTAAACCCCAAACCCTAAACCCTAAACCCCAAACCCCAAACCCTAAACCCTAAACCCTAGCCCTAAACCCTAAACCCCAAAAAGCTTCTAAGTCAAAAGATCAAAAGAGCTGCTAAGCAAAGCCTCGAAGTGCCCCCGCGTGCAGGACTCTGGACATGATCTCGCAGGTCGGCGAGACGGAGAAGCTGAGGCAGGGGTGGGTTGGGGGTTTAGGGTTCAGGGTTTAGGATTGAGGGTTTAGGGTTTAGGGTTTAGGGCTAGGGTTTAGGGTTTAGGGTCTAGGGTTTAGGGTTTAGGGCTTAGGGTTCAGGGTTTAGGGTTTAGGGTTCAGGGTTTAGGGTTTAGGGTCCACTTCAGAACGAAGCACGAAGTTCCCCGATCCTCCAAGAACCCCAGAAATCTGTATAAAGATCCCGTAAGGGAATATGAGGGCAACATTTGGAATACATTACGGGAACCTCTTAGGGTTTCATCCCTACAGTCCGAGTATGACTCCATTGAAAGGAAAATGCCCAGCAGTACTCTTATCCCGTTTCCTGGGAGTTTGCTCTTCTTGTAAACTCCATTAGCGCATGAAACATTTTTTTGTTGCTACGAGGTTGAATTTCGGGCCTGGGCCCTCTTGG